TAGCCAAGCATGTCCCCCACCGCGACTTCGTCTACCGTCAGCGAAGTTGGTGGTGCATGGAAGGAAAGATACTTGTGTAAGAGGGCGCATAGGGCTGCGCTTTGCGGCCCCGGAAGGTTGCCCGTCGTAGGGAGAGGAATCCAAGCGAAGTCCTCGGGCGTGAGCGGGTCCAAAGCCTCCTCGTTGAACACGCTTGCCGAATCCCTTGATGAAGACGAACAGGCGGAAGAACCTTCGAACGGTGAGAAAGCCGCACATGTATCTTGTCCTTGAGAAGCATCCAGTGAAGGAACGAGCCGGGCAGCGAAGTTTTCGAACGAACGTGGAAGACTCCCGACATCCGCATATGCCTCGGAAGAAAGGGCGGTCGTGCGCACAACCGCTTCCGATGGCGTCGAGGAAGGTGTCGAGTCACCCTCGGCGGCGCCTACTTTCCCTGACGGGGTTTCCCCTTGGTGGGGCAATGTGCAGCATCGTGGATGGTGCTGTTGCACCAAAGGCAGTAACGGTACTTAAGTCTCGTGCGATAAGAATTCGTCGAGAGTCCGTATTGTGCCCAAGGTTCGTCGGCGGCTGATCAGGTGCTCGGTGTAGAGGTGGACTGAGTCTTCGTCTTGTCGCGGCCGTGATTGTTGCGCGGTCGGCCACCATCTCGGGCAGCTGCCAACACTTCACCCTCGTTTGGTGTTGGAGCCTCAGGAGAAGTAATGCAAGCCACCTTTGGCTTGGGCTGGGTGCCGCTCATCGTTGCGGAAGATCGGCCGGCGTTGCGCGCTTTGATATTCGTGAGAATGATCCGTGACGCTGTTTTGAAAAGCTTGTCAGATGTGTCGAGTGTCTCTGCTATCTGCGTCAGCGCGTTTTGCAGAGTTGGACAAGAGCGCATGATAAACAAGTGCTTGATGGCGCGGAATGCGAGTGGCAGGTCAGGTGTGGAGGCGAGTCTTTGGAACTCGGTAATCCAGTCCTGACTKAGCARCGTGTTCTGRTGGAGCTTGTTGAGCTTGTCCATCGCTTGCASGTCGGGCGGCTCCACTTGGAATCGCTTGTGCCAGGCGTCAGTCAACTCCTGCCAAGTGAGCTTGGTGTGCAGTTCCGACACTGCTACGCCGTGGCTGGTCAAGATGTTGTCCAGCCATGCTTGACATGCACTACCAGATCGGTGGTACAAGCACGGATGTCGATCATTGTTCGGGACATGGTGCATGTCGAGCCTGAGAGTAAACTGGCGCCACCACGGGATCGGTTCCGTCTTGGACTGATCGCAGAAAACTAGAATGTCATCCAGTTTGGGTGGGCATCGAGAGGATGCGGCGGCGGGCGTCACGGTGGCAGCAGCCTGTACCGGCGTCTCCAACTGCAAGTTCGTTGCTTGCTGCGACGTCCGGAAGTCCTGATGCACACGCTTGATGTTGCTGACGTCATCCTCCAAAACTTGCACACGGGTGGTAAGGGTGGAAGGCCCTGCGGCTGCTACAGCAGCTGGCTGTTTCTCCAACGCCTGCAGCCGTGCGAGCATCTGGTCCACTGTCTGCTGCAGGTGAAGGATTTCCTCCTGCTGCAGAGCGCAGGTGGCCACGAGGTCGTGGGAGACCTGCGCAAGGGYTGACARCCCTTTCYCAKTCTYCGGGGCCCCGTCTGCAGATGTCACTTCCACCCAATGTGCGGCCTCGTTGCCGATCACGGTCTCCCGCGTGAACAGTCGTTCCCGCTGGCGTGACCGGTGTTCGGCTGCCGTCTGCAGGTCTGCCTCTTCTTGACGAAGTCGGTCCTGTTCCTCCTTCTGTCGCTTGGCCTCCTCCTCTTGTTCGAGCCGATTATATTCCTTGGCCGCGGCGGCGGCCCTATCGTTGGCCTCCTGAATGAATGCCGCCAGGCGTTCCTCATAGGCCAGGAGGGATTCTCCCGCCTTCCGGTCCATGGCCTTGGTCTGTGAT